CCCACCCCGCCGCCCAGCAGCCGCCGGCACCCTCCCTCTCCCTACCCTCAGGCCCCTCCCTCTGCACCAACCTCCTGCCGCAACTTGCACGTCTGTTGCTGAGAATTCCCTGCGTGTTTTGTTATCTTCTCAAAGAACACCACTGCAAGGATTCTGCCTTCATTAATTTTGAAAAAGTGATTTGGGAGACGCATTGAGGGTGTGATTCCCCCACGAGGAATTCCAGACCAACTCTCAAGAGGGGGAGGAGAGAAACCCCTCTCCACTGGCTCCCAACTTCTAGCTCTTTCTCAAGCAAATATTTTTTTATTGACACGAACACTTCCTTATCAGTGACTCCTTCTTCTTCGACCTAGTGATTCCCTGAGGCTTCCTACGGAAAAATTCATTTATTCAGTGAAGAGGGGATTTTTAGTGCTTTAAGGGCTGTGTCTGTGCATATCAGGGGAGGAAGGGGGGTGAGGAACGGGGCAACACACTGGGTGAGTTGGCCCAGTGAGAGGGCCAGCCAGAAGCCCAAACTTCACTTGCATACAGCCTATTTATGTAGTAAATCCTCACTTGTACTCCACAACTCAAAATAAAATAAGACATAAAAAAAGATGTGCCTTGAATTCTAGTTGTAACAATGCCACATGCTACTTTCTTCCATCCTCATCCTCCACTCATAGTCTTTCAATGTTTGAGCTCCTTAAAACTCCAATTCGGACCCTCCTTGGACCCTCCCCTGCACCCTCCCAGGAGTCTTGTCCAAGCCCACAGCCTCAGCTTCCATCTATTCTACAAAGACCCTTAAGCTTCCATTTCCAAGCCAGACCTCTTCTCTGAGCGTCAAACACCAAACTTTAGCATAGTGCCCACATTAGGGTGTCCCAAAGGCACCTCAACATATTTGAGATGAGCCATATGTCTCCCACCCGCCTCCAGCCCCTGCATGCTCCTGAACCTGACCTCACTTCTGGTGTGAGCACGTCAAGCTCCCAGGCATGGCCAAGAGAAAGCCAACTGCCAGGGTCATGGTCAGAGCTCGGGCTTGAAGCCTGGGATGTCCACACACACGCCTGGGAGGCTGCTCTTAGGGTAAGGCTGAGCTGCAGGAAGAAAGAGAGAGGCAGGCCAGGGAACCAGGAGCTGGGAGTCCTCAGTCCTCATCTAATGATGGGAGTTTACTTGTCAAAGTCAGAGGACAGAGCACATTTTAATTAACACTTTGTTAGCTTGTTGTAGAACCTTCAATAATTTAGGTATGTGGCATGTGGGCCCCAATTTGTAACCTTCCTGGGGTCCCAAAAGTGCCAGCATAGGTGTGGCCGCCTAGCCTCGAAGCTCTTCCCTCCTGAGTCTCTCTGCAACTGACTCCATGCCCTTTCTCCCCAGCACCTAGGCCTCAGTCACTGTCACTTTCCATCTCGTCATAACAGTGGCCTCTCCATCCCTGTTCCAGTTCATCCTTCACCTGCCACAGAATGTTGGGAAAACACACATCTAACCTCACTTTTTTTAGGATGGGAACAGGCCTGGCCTCCCCAGCTTCAAACTTTAGTGTCCTATACTCAGGGTCTTCCAACCACTCTTCCCTAACCCGGGCTCCTTCCATTTCCTCTGACTCAGCCCTGCAGGGCCTT